GGCAGTGTATGTGTATATGTGTATACATCTCAGCATTCAAACACAAACACTACACACAAATACACCCCCGCATGCGAACGCCAACACTACATACACCTCTGCATGCGAACGCCAACACTACATACACCCCCCCGCATTCAAATGTCAATACTACATACAAACACAGAGAATGTAAAAACAAAAATATATACACACTAATATGAATAAATAAATACGTAAAAAATTGTGATTTCAGGTGTCCCTCACACACACTAAATGCCAAATACAATATAAAAAAGTATACATAAAAAAAACTCACAAACATTTTTAAATTCAGGCTTGTCACCCTCCCAGGTGTACACACAGATGTACTTACAAGATGTCGCTCATATATGGACAGTTTTCCTATAGTACATATAGAGAAAAAATTTAAATATTAATAAAAAGATAAACAGTAATAATAAAAAAATATAAAAATAAAATGAAAAATAAATAACTGTGTAGCTAATGAATGAAAAAAAACCTGAATGTGACAAGACATACAGCAACATCACATAGAAAATTGCATAGAAAAACTGTATATCAAATAAGACCTGTAAGGTCAATATCTTGATTTAAACCAGAATTTAGAGTTTTAAGGGTATAAATCCACTGGGCCTCTTTCTGGGTGAGTTCTAATAATCTGTCACCCCCTCGACAGCCTAAATTAATTTGATCAATACCAAATGCTTGGAAATTTTCCCAGTTAAACTGGGCACATGAATTGCAGTGTCTGGTCACACTATGATCTATTTTCTTTTTCTTGACATTATTGAAATGTTCAAGAATTCTGGTTTGTTATTTACGTGTGCTCCGCTACCACATTGTAATAAATAGATGACGAAAGTAAAGGCGCAATGGATATATTGTTTTTGTATATTATATGTTTTGTGAGTATAAGTCCGTACAAAACTCTCAATTTTTCTTTTTTGATAGTTGCACGTAGAACAATGTCCACTATGAAAAAAAAACCAACACAGATTTGAGTATGAGCTAAATTATTAGAAACTTTCTTAGAAGGAAGAAAACTGAGGGCTAGTTTGTTCTTCAAATTAGTTGCCTTTTTAAAAATAACTGTCGGAAAATTAGGTAAAATCTCCCTTTCACTATATACACACATCTCTTTTTGAGAATGTGCCATTGTTGTAGCAAACACTCCATACAAAGACACCCCTACATTCACACAAACATACTCCATACAAAACCATGCTTACATTCAAACACACAAATACTGCTCAGTGCTAAATACAATCCTGCAAGCATGGGGAATCGGTACAGCCCCAGCTTTCAAAGCATTGTTGAAGTTGCACAACAGATGGGGATCTATCTTTTAGCCACCCTGTGTACATACACCGACAGTCATACAGAGACATACAGTCTTTATGTCTCTGTATAATTGTCTGTGTATGTATGTCTATGACACACACAAAAGCTCCATTCAGCATCCCTATCTAACTCTTGCGAGTCCCGCAGCCGTCATAGCGTTGCCATGGGTTACTATGGCAACGCACGGCACGCAGGCCTTAAGAGTTAGACTGGGGAGCCGATGGAAAGGGAAGTAAGAGTGTGCTGTGGGCCCCCAAGACCAGGGAATGCCATATCCCCCTTCCCTGGCCAGGTACGAAGCAGGGAGGGCGGACTGAAAACAAAATGTAAAAAAATTATTATTATTATTAAAAAAGTAAAAATGCCCTCCCACCCCCATTTTACACACATTACATATTAGTCTTACATTAATATCCATAATATGTACATTACAAAAAGATATCACTAATATATCAAAAGTCGTAGAGAGATCAAAGTATATTCATGTGTTCCAAATTCATATATCCAACTATAATGATCCAGTGTCCATCAAATGCTGAAATCCAGGGATGATTCAAATACTGCGGGGCCAAACCCAGCCAATAGTCCACAAATAACTTGTTGAAAAGCATCAAAAGAAAACACAAACTAGATAAAACCAAATGAAAAATGAAAGTCAGGCAGAGGTGATAAGCAAAAAAACATAAGTACATAGCAACCATCCTAATATTAATGAGGTAATTCTTTGAGGGGGCCATCATATGTAGGCAGAGCACATTTATCTGAAGGGAGTGAAATCACACTCTTCATTCAGCCCATGAGGAAATAATGTATCCAATCGGTAAATCCAACTTCTAAATTCTGCCCATTTGAGAGAATCTGCAAGGGAACATCCAGGATAGGGTTTTTTAATGTGTTGTATAGCCTGAAATTCCCAGATTTTACTATTAACATGACATAAAGTCATGATTTTATTAAAGATACGGAGGCTCCTATTATGCATCTCTCTTTCTTTATTACTCTCAGCAGCAAAGATAGAGATGAATAAATAACTGAAATGAACAAAAAAACTGTACAGTACACAAGCAACCAATCACCTAACACAGGAAGTGACTATAACAGGCTTGTGACACCCACAATCCCCCTCTTTCTTGCGGAGAACGAAGACCAGTGTATAGAAACCAACTTCAGCTAACGTGGCCAACAGCATCACCAACACGGAAACACGAAGAATTCGAGCTATAAAGGGGACAGAGAAAAAATATGGTAATTTCTGGACTCCAACCGTAATGTGCATAATAACATATTAGCAACAGTAACACAACCAGACTCCTTACCACCGTAGAATATTCTAATAGACATAAAGGTAACGTGATTCACCAAGTTATATTTGCCAGACAAACAATAAAACATATGAAATCTCCAAGAAGAATACTTACCGATGTTTGACATTACCTACACCTGCACCCTTCTGCAACCGGCCGGGCGGGTGGGAATAATACTCGCCTCCATATCTTTAATAAAATCATGACTTTACGTCATGTTAATAGTAAAATCTGGGAATTTTATTAAAGATATGGAGGCTCCTACTATGCAAGTTCAAAGCTTAGAAACCACCTGAGATACAAAGTGATCAACCAAGCGACAACCAAGCACTGAGGCCTTGGAGGCCATAGCTCCATGGACCGAATGGGGGGTGAATATAGACGTGTCAATTCCAGCCAACATCAAAATATATGATCGGGGAAACTCAGCCGGACAGAGAGCTGGGACGTTCTGGACTCTAGGATAGACAAAAACCTTCGAAGCAGACTTTATCCTTCTGGAGATGTTAAAGGAGATACCCTCCAGGGTAAACGTAACGGCATTCCAGTAAAGCGCTCTAACATCCGACACCTGTTTACATGAAGTCAAGCATAACAGCATAACCATCTTAGCTGACAGTTATTTCAGCGTCAAATCTTGATTCGGGTACCAAGACGACAGGAACTGTAGAACTACATTCACGTCCCAGAAGGCAACAAATCTAGCTCTAGGTGGACTAGCGAGGCAAATTCCCTTAAGCAGACAACATACGAAAGGGTGTCGACCTACAGGTGATCCATCCAGACCATGAGATAGCCGAACGACACAGATTGATGGTGCAGTGCGCCTTCCCTGACTCAAACATACTAGTAAAGAATTCCAGGATCATATGCAGAGGAGCAGATATGGGATCCACAGTTCGTTCCATGCACCAATTAGACCATATTCGCCAGGCGGACCGGTATGCTGATCGAGTACCTGGTGCCCATGCATTGTCGAGGAGATTGAGAGTTAGTCCAAGGTCCCATGAAAGGAGCCATGCTACTAGATGCAGAAGGCCGTGATCCACTAACTTGTGCAAGTTCCCATCTGGATCCTTTAGGAGATTCGAAAGAGTCGGTATCAACCGTGGGTAATCTATGGCCAACTCCAGCAGTCGAGGGAACCACGGTCGTGATCGCCATAGAGGAGTCATCAATACCATCGTGCAATTGTATCAAGTCAACTTCGACAGCATACGAGCTATCAAGTTGAACGGGGGAAAGGCATACACTCGAGCCACTGGCCACTCCTGAAGGAACGCGTCCGTCGTCACCGCTGCCGGATACGGCCTCCAACTGTAGAACCTGGGCGTTGAGTCGAAATGTGAAGAGGTCCACTTTGAATAGGCCCCACAACTGTTCCAAGCCCATGAACGCCGAAGCGTGTAAGTGCTAGTCTCCGGAGTCTCTCAAATAACGAGCGTTCCAATCGGCCGTCGAGTTGTCCAGGCCCGGAATATGTTCTGCCTGTACCGAGACGTTGTTGTGTAGACAGAACTGCCAGAAGTCCTTTGCTAGGAGAGCCAACATGTGCAACTTCGTGCCAGTTAGGTGGTTGATGTAGCGCACCGCGGACACATCGTCCATCCTGAGCATCACGCAGCAGTTCGCTTGACCAGGGGCAAGGCTGCGAATCGCAAAGGCCCCTGCTAACAGTTCCAGACAATTGATGTGGAATGTTTTTTCTAGATCTGACCATCTGCCTCCATGTAAGCTGGCGTCCGATTTGATCATTGCGTCTGGGATTGATCTGAAGATGGCTTTCCCGTTCCAGGCGTCCACGTGAGCCAGCCACCAAGTTAACTCGTCTCTGGACGACTCATCATCCAACCTCAACCTTGTCTCGTAGGAGTGACCCGAACGTAGGTACGAACCTAAGAGCTGCTGGAGGGCCCGATAATGAAGCGGTCCGGGAAATATTGCCTGGACAAAAGGCACTAGCAGGCCAATCACTCTTGCAAGTGTCGGAGAGACAGGTCATCTGCTCGCAACGTTCGCCTGATTTCCTTTTTGATGGCTTTAATTTTGGTCTCCGGGAGAAAGAGTAACTGACTGACTGAGTCCACTGTGAAACCCAAGAATTCCATCGAATGAGTGGGGATCAACACCGACTTCCCAATTGATCAGGAAAACCAGGTTTTGAAGTAATGCCGTTGTCCAATTGACATGTAGGCGTAGTTGTTCTCTTGATTGAGCCATGAGCAAAATGTCATCTAAATATATAATCAGACGCACCCCTCGTGTTCGAAGAAAAGACACAACTGGCTTCATGACCTTGGTGAAACACCAAGGGGTAGATGAGAGCCTGAATGGTAGACATGTAAATCTCCATCACTTCCCTCTCCAAGTGCATTGGATAAAATCCCTGTGTTCCTCGGTTGTAGAAACCTTGAAATAGTCGTCCATCAAATCTAGCTTGGCCCTCCAATCCGAGGCCTGGAGGAGATCTCGAAGGCAATGGATGCCTTCCATCTGGAAATGTTGGTACCAGAGAAAAGCATTGAGAGTTCGGGGGTTGATAACGCGTCGCACTCCGCCTCCCTTCTTTGGCACCAAGAAGAGGTTGCTCGTGAAACCTGGGCAGGTGAACGGCAACTCTTGGATTGCTCCTTTGCCGAATAGTTCCTTGATCTCAGAGTAGATTAACGATTCCTGTTCCTGAGACAGGCACATTTCCCTGGGTACAAAATGTTCTACAGGCATGGATACAAAATCTATATGGTAACCCTGTATCGCTTGAAGAACCCAAGCATCTGTTGTCATGGCAGCCCACTCCTTGTAAAACTGGGCCAATCAGTCTCCCTCTGGATGGAAAGAATGGAGCAGTTTTGGGCTCTTGGAAACCCTGTGATGGAAAAAAGGAGCCTCGCTGAGCTCGGAACGAGCCTCTGAATCCCCGGCTGGGTGGACGGCCCCTCTAAAAACCTTCGGAGAGAAGACCCTTTTCATATTCGCCTGAGCCTTGTCTATGGTGGTAAAGGTCTTCATGTATGACCCCAGGTCTCTGACAAAATTGTCCCCGAACAACATCCCCTGAGCTGAGGGACCTGGTTCAGATTTGGCCATACTAGCCAGTTTGGGATCTATTTTAAGCAAGATTGCCTTGCGGCGTTCAGCCGACACGGCCATATTAGCATTGCCCAGCAGGCAAATAGCTTGTTGGACCCAGTTTATAGCTACATCCAAATCTAGTTCCGATTCGCCAGACTTGGCAGAACCCAGTACTTCGTAGACCTTGGACAAAGGCCCCAACGTGTCCATAATTTTGTCCTGCAATTTTTTTACGAAAAATCCAGGCCCTTCTTTGGTTTCCAACCCGACTTATTAAGGAATTGTGCAATCTGCGGGTCAACCTCTGAGGTTTTGCACGCTGAGCCCGACATTGAGGGTCTAGGGCATTCAGCACGCAGCTTACTGAGTCCCTCTTTAGAGAGTGGGGTGCGCATCCTAGGTGCCATGTATTGGGCAATATGCCCAGGGGGTTCCCACTCAGCAGAGTAGGGATGATGCAGGTCATCCGGATCAAACAAGGGAGTACCCTAAGGATCCAGAAGCACCGCGCCACCACCCGCCCTCTGAACGGCAATACCCTGAACGGGAGCAGCAGCCCCAGTACGGGTCGCTACGTCAGGGGGAGCTTCCTCCGAGCCAGCCTCATCGTAGGAGGCATAATCCACCTCCTCTGAATCATTCTCCTCACTCTGGTCGGTATCTGACCCTTCTTCACGGCATCTAGCCCGTTTCCACAATCTGGACGGTTTTGCCCTGCCAGGGGCTCTTTTGCGCGGTGGTAGCGCGCCATCTGGGACCGCCTCAAGTGAGTCTATCAGGGCAGGTGCAACCTGCATCGAGGAGTGGGAGGCGAGGTGTTTGACTTTCGCTGTGGCCTTACGGGCCTTAGGCGAGGCAGAGGTAGAGGGGAAACCCGCTCCCAGTAGGGCAGGGGTAACCGCCAGGGGCAATAAAAGGGCCTGTGCCAGCGTCCAGGAAAAATGATAACGACATCGCTCCCATCGCGGAGGCAAGAGCCCTCTGGAGGGAAGAGCCATAGTGGAGTCAAGTAGAGTGTGAAACTCTTCAGAAGCCACGTGCTTCCAGGCATTCCCTGAGAGAAATCATTAAGTTGGCCCTCAGGCCCATCACCCTTAGCCTGCATAATGTGGCTGGTTAGGCAAATAGATAGTAGAAAAATATATATAAATATAGTGAAAGGAAAAGAGGATAGAGTTTAATAACCCGTAGAGAGAAACACACAGTAAGAAAAGGGAAGAAATGCACCAAAGAATAATATATATACACACACAGTATACTAGTATAGAATGGATACCTGCTAAGTGGTGTGTCCAGGGGGAACCCAGGGTAAACAGGTACGAGGGATGGGGGGTGCAGACACCATCCCGCCGGAAAACGCGGTCGGGAAAGGGAGAAGATGGCCACCGCACGAGGCAGGGAGATCAAAGGCGGTATGTAGCAGGGGAAGGCGTGCAGGAGCCACGCAGTCTGACCTTCACACACACGGGAGACGCCGCTAAGCTAGGCACATGCTCTCAAGTGTGTGCCCGAATGGAATCGGGCTATGCCACCCACCAGGAGGCCACCCACGACCCACAGGGACGGGCGGCGGGGAACACCGCTCGGGAGGAGAGGGACCCAGGAGGACACAACACGGAACACAGTATGAAATACAGTATAAATGCATTGAATAATTGAAAATAACCAAAGCTATCAATTATATATGAACAAAAAAGCACCCTAAATCATTACAACACACAGAATCCAACAGAGCACAATAAGGTAGTACTTAACTAGTCTGAGAGCAGCAAAGAAAGAGAAGTGGATTGTGGGTGTCACAAGCCTGTTATAATCACTTCCTGTGTTAGGTGATTGGTTGCTTGTGTACTGTACAGTTTTTTTGTTCATTTCAGTTATTTATTCATCTCTATCTTTGCTGCTGAGAGTAATAAAGAAAGAGATATGCATAATAGGAGCCTCCGTGTCTTTAATAAAATCTAAGCTGGGCCACTGAGGGGCCAAAATCAACAAAGTGTTTGGCTAAAGGGAAGCTTGACAAAGAGCTTATACATTTCTTTGTCAGTATGATACTTTTGTGTTCACCAATACATATAGTTAATGATCTCAAAGTTTGACCAACATAACCAAGTCCACACAGGCACTTGATTAGTTAGATGACACAATTCAAGAAATCCTTAAAGGACCACTATAGTGCCAGGAAAACATACTCATTTCCTGGCACTATAGTGCCCTGAGGGTGCCCCAACCCTCAGGGTCGCACTCCCGCTGGGCTCTGGGGAGAGGAAGGGGTAAAAATCTTACCTTTCTCCAGCGCCGGACGGGGAGCTCTCCTCCTCCATAGCGACGTCATTGGCTGAATGCGCATGCGCGGCAGGAGCCGCGCGTGCATTCAGCCAGTTCATAGGAAAGCATTTACAATGCTTTCCTATAGACGCTGGTGTCTTCTCATTGTGATTTTCAAGGTGAGAAGCACGCAAGCGCCTCTAGCGGCTGTCAAGAGACAGCCACTAGAGGCTCTATTAACCATATTATAAACATAGCAGTTTCTCTGAAACTGCTATATTTATAAAAAAAAGGGTTAATCCTAGATGGACCTGGCACCCAGACCACTTGATTAAGCTGAAGTGGTCTGGGTGCCTATAGTGGTCCTTTAATAGAAAACAGTTTGCCTGTTCTGGGATGGGTAAACCCAGAGCTCGTTATGGTGTTATTACAATTAGCACAGTGGCCACAACGATGCATCCCACTAATTGGTGTCCCCCAAGTGGTGGGAAGCTTAGTAGGGGTTACGGATCTGGAGGGTTAAACAAAGGCTTTGATGTTTCTGGATCTCCTATATGCCATGATTGTTTTTTCACTGAAGAGATCTCAAATGCATGAATCACTCTGTAAAACATGCCAATGCTTGTAGATGACATGTTTAACAAAACGAGACTTTGTTGAATATGTAGTGATACAAGGAATACGATTTGATGTTTTTTTCTTACCCTGAGGTTTCAATAGAGAAGTCCTCTCCATACCTTTATCCAATGCCTCCTGTAATGAAGTTTCACTATAAACACGGGATCAAAAATCATCTATCATCTTGCATGCCTGAATGTCAACATTTTCCTCCTGAGACACAATTCGCAGGACACGTAGTAGTTGGCTAAAAGAAAGACTGTGAATCATGCTGACATGGTGGAAGGAGTTCGCCTGTAAAAATGCAGCATTGTCAGTCGGTTTCTGAAACAAATCAAAACACAACCCGTCCTCAGTGTTACTCACCAATACGTCTAGAAAATGTACACTGGTTGTATCATATTCCAAGGTGAATTCAGTGCTAGGAATGTAATAATAAGAAGTAGTAAATTGCCTACCAAACCATTATAAAGAAAGAACACATTGTCTATGTAATGCAGCCAAATGATGACTTGCTTAAACATGGGATGCGAATAGACAATATCTTCCTCAATTTTGGCCATATAAAGGTTGGCATACGAGGGAGCAAAAAGACAACATGGCCCAGATGTTTCATCTGATACATGCTACACAACATTCTGAGTGTTGTCTCCTTTCCTCTCTACTAATACTGTAATTTGATCGCATTAACTGGGACTATATGTTGACTACCCTTGAGTTCATTAGATTTGGCCCAGAGATTTAGATCTTGATAGGTAGGTTCACTTTGCACAATCCTATCTGTAATGGCGTACACCACCCCAAGCATTCTACTACTTGTCTGCAGAAGGCACTTAATTATAGTATCAAAAGCTGCCACCACCAAGGCAAATTATAAAGGAGTGCCTTAGGTTACTCCAAGCAAATTTATTTAGCAAAATATCTATGTTATCAGAAATATTATTTTTTAAAAAAAAAGGTCTTTTCAGATAATGTGATTATTTATGAGACAAAAGCAGAACTTAAAGGAATATTTATGAACAAAAATAGTCACAGTATATACATAAGAAAACTAGATGACACAAATAATTTACACCAACAAGAGTTAAAAATAAAAAGAGGAAATTCAACAGAAAATCTTTATTACTCACTTTGCTGTTAGAGTAATGATACAGTGAGCACACGGTTCACATCTGGGACCTTTTTAACTTGGGGAGAGCTAAATTAGTGCATTGCAACAAAAAAAGAGAATATGAAAACTGTGAGAATTGACAAAAGCTTAGAGAAACTCAGTAGCTTGCCCTTCAGTAAATATGTGCAAAGGTCTCAAAATAGTTTTGCTCACTTGTGCCATTACATATTTTTACAAATATTGTTATCTCTTGCTATACACCTGACACAGAGATACTTTTTATGTGGAATGGCAACAATTTATCCATTTCATAGAAATCTTATACTGCCCATATATACTTTAACACCTTCAGGACCGAGGACGGTTCAGGACCGTCATCGGCATTTTTGCATTGCCGACTGGTGACGGTCCTGAACCGTCCTAACGGTCCAATGTAGTTACCCGATCGCCGTCGTTCCCACGGCGGCGATCGGCGTTGCTCCCGGTGTGGGGAGACTGCCTTGCAGCCCAGACAGTCTCCCCGCGGCGAATTAGGACCCCTGTGGCCATGTGATCGATCAACAGAGTGATCACATCGTCACAAAAGGTGTCCATGTGTCTGCCTGCAGGGGGACTGCCATTAAAAAGTTAATGTTAATAAAAAAAAATTATATATATATATATATATATATATGTTTATATAAATATATGATATATAGACATATATTA